CTTTAGGTATTTAGAAAATAATGGCTGGAGACGGCTTAGGTATCTAGATAATGTTATAAGTGAAAATCGTTGAGCTACTAACCCTTACGGAATGGTATCTTTAGGTATCTAGATAATGTTATAAGTGAAAATCATTGAGCTACTAACCTTTACTGAATGTTATATTTAGGTATTTAGATAATAATGGCTGGAGACGGCTTAGGTATCTAGATAATGTTATAAGTGAAAATCATTGAGCTACTAACCTTTACTGAATGTTATCTTTAGGTATTTAGATGATAATGGCTGGAGACGGCTTAGGTATCTAGATAATGTTATAAGTGAAAATCGTTGAGCTACTAACCCTTACTGAATGTTATCTTTGTATGTAAACATATTTTACCGATGGACTGTTCCAAAGATTTATGATTTACGTGAGTTACTGAAATGTTTTCCACGTCAACTTCTTCCGTGTTTTCCTGGAATTGTTGACCTGGTTGTTTTTTAAGAGGTAGTTCTGACTGTATATACTTATGTGCACAGTTATTAGATAAGCTTTATGAGTTGTTTGTTTCATCATAATACTCCAATGAACATCAAAATTTGTGAAACGTATTGTACAGAAGTAATATCAACTACATATATGCTGATATAACAAAATAAAAGTAAATAAAAATGTATACATTTGTGAATGTTTTCATAAGAGGTCAAAACTTGATTTCATAGCTTTACTGTGAATGTGGGGTTTAGTCCAAGAAAGGGTTTAATTAAATCTACCATTAAAAACAAACAAACCAACTTTCTTCTATCGTTTGTCGTTGTTTGTGTAACTAAAGAGAATACAGTAGCCCATTCTTTTCTCCAGAGGCATACATGGACTCATGCACATATTTGAAAGAATGTTTTTATACAACCTTAGCTCAGACGTGCTTAGCTAATACTGAAATATTTTAAAGTTGATTAGTTAAAGATCACACTTAATTCTTCTGTGGTGGTCAACAAGAATATATAAGTTTTGTTTGTTTGTTTTTGAATTTCGCGCAAAGCTACACGAGGGCTATCAAAGCTGATTCCAGTGAAGGTTATAGCCTTGCAAAGTTTTCTACACTTCCATGAAAATGTCTTCTCCAGTTGTTGTTCTGTGCATGCTGCAAACGGATGCCAACTCTTCTGTGATCTGAAAGTCCAAATTAACACCACGAATGAACACGAGAAGGTGTGACGTACTCGAGAGATCAGTAGACTCACCCAGCGCAAGAGAATACCACAAGAAGTTCCTAGCTTTCGCGCGTATCTGTAACACTATGTTCTGTCCAAGTTCTTCTATTCTCCGCACAACTGAACTTGCTGAAAGGCTGATACTTCCAAATAAATCGGCTTTCTCTGGACACAAGTTATCTCACAATAGACTGAACTAAACTATTATTAAGAACCTTTCTTAAAATACAATAGAAGTAAGTATTGTCACTACCTTATATTTGCACAACAAACACGTTCTGATGCTCGTCCAATAACTATCAATTTAAATCCATTTGTGTTCATTCCAGAATGAAAGATGCATAATTTATGTTTATTTCATAATTTTTTATGGTGGTTGCGAGATCGTTCAAATTTTCCGGACCCGAACAGAAATTGATTACTGAAGACAATATATAAAATATAAAGTTTTCTCTTTTCAAACGTTTGCTAATTATTTGGACATTATAAAAATTTCGCATATGAAAGTTCGAAATTTTCTGATGCACAAAA